ATTATAGTAAAACTTCGATTATTCGTCTACAACAGGACTAAGAAGGTTGGATGGATAATCGAATTAGACAGATAAAAGGAAAAAATATATTTTTATATTTATTGTTTTAAATATTCATTTTTATATTAAACGTACTACTATACTTAAAAAAATAAAATAAAATAATTTGAAAAATAAGTAATTTTATTTGTTTATACGAATCATGTGGTTTTTTATGGATAAGTTTTTTTTCTTTTTCTTTGTAACATTACTTTTATTTATAAATTCATTATTATGACGATGGGTGACGTATAACAAAAGTTGACCAATGAGAGAGAGACGGATAATTGGGGTTTTACTGTACTTGAATTTGTTGCATTTTGTCGTAACGATGTCATTCCGACACTCGCCGACCCTTTCCAAATGAATACATCATGTTTAAATCGAACGGTAAAATGAATTACTTTACATATTACGTACGTACGTACGTACGTATTAAATTGCGCATAACGTCGAAAACACTAAATTAAAGGGATATAATATGTTTTTAGTGTACCTTTTACAGTAGGTAACATATTCATGGATAGTTGAACTGAATACTAAAAATTACGAAATAGCTAAATTCAACTATTATTATTATTTTTTGTAACAATTCAATCTGTGCCGTATAGGAACACGAAAATTCGGAAAATGCAATAACTTTTGTTCTGTTCAATATTTTTCATTTTTTAATAATTACTAAAGCCTTATGCTATGATTACTTTATCATATGTATATTTTTAAAACTAAAAATACAAATATAAATTTAAAAACATTTTTATTACAGATATTTACTAATGATAAATCGTTAAGTTTCTACAATTTTTTGAAGTTTACATAAATCATTAATAAATTTAGTTTCCGTGGTAAACATTTTGAATCGACTAGTATTATTTTTTGAAGTTTAAGATAATTAAAATTTTTGTTTTCATTGTTTATCAAAATTAAATTTGTCAATGATTTTTGTAAACTTCAAAAAAATGTAAAAACATAACAATTCGTCTTTATTTAATATTCGCAACAAAAAATTTTGTTTTAAAATATATTTATAAAAACAACCATCTTAGATTTTATAAAAGAATTTTCTTAAACGTATTTTAAATTTTTATTTTTAGTTTTAAAAATTATATAATAGAGTAATTCTTATAGCGCAAGGCTTTAGTAATTATTACAATAAAATTAAAAAATATTGAACACTACAAAAGTTATATGAATTTGTCAAATGTTTGTGGGACACCTTGTATAATACGCACGTACGCAGACTTACCGAAAAACACAAAATTCAATCCGTTCTTTCATCTCACAGTAAACAGGACGTATATTTTACTTTATCGTCAACGTCACTCAACGTCGTTCGCTAAATTCATTGCTTTATTTACCGTACGTACAAATTATTATTGCCCACATTTTTCACTTTTTCCGCAGACCGTGGCGTGTATTTATTAATTTTTTTTTTTAATCTTAGGAAATTATGCAGTTTCTTTTTTCCTCCGGTCGGTTTTCATTTTAGCAGACTACTTAGTTTATCAAACGAATTTCTGAAAACAAAATAGAGATTCTCCTAAAATTATTCAGATTTTTTTCCTCCACACTTATTACTGGTGGTTTTATTTTCTAAACCAAACATGATTTTACGTCAAAGTAACTTTTATTTCATTTCGAATATATTTTATAATATTCTTTTCAAATTTAAAATTCGCACGACAGCAGTCCGCATGAAATTCGTTTCCGTGCGTTTTCACATGAAATACACGTTCGGTTCTGTCATATTTAACTCAGAAATTCGGAAAAAATGGTTACCAGTTTGTTTTTATTTTTAAATAGTCTCCATCACCGGACCCAGGGATAGAGGAATTAAGTGGGAAAATGCGTACATATTCTTATAATACAAATTCCGTAATAAATTCTCCCTAAACCTTATAAATAAGATAATATTTAACTATCATATTGTTTGATAAGGGAAGTATAAATAATTATCTGTATAGACATTTTAATAATTAAATATTCTGCGTCTGTCAGCCTTTCAGTGTATATCGGATAGATTTTGGCTCTGGTTCAGCAAAACTGCACATTTTTTTAAAAATATTACAGTAAAAAAAACAAAATAAAAAATGATTTACGTCGAAGATTAAAAAAAAATATAAAATATTTCTGTATTTTATTCTCATTCTTGAGGGATGATTTTTACCTTACTTAAACTGAATATTTGTTAATTATTTTTTAAACGAAAAACTTATACAACGATACAATTTAAGTGAATTGAACCTTAAAAATCAGAGCCCCGGCGTCTTTGATATACCTTATACCAGTGGTTCCCAACCTTTTTTATTCTACGCCCCCTTTGTAGATTTTCGAAACTCTCGCCCCCCCTTCTATAACATGGAAAAATAAATCACTTTTTGTGTACTTTACAAAGAAATTATAAAATATCCGAGATGAATTCAATTTTATTGATGATAATAATTAAAATAGTAAAATAGTACATAATATAATATAATGAAATTGACAATATATTATTGTGAAGGCTGGCAACACTTTTCTGTAGAAATTTTTTTATGTTTCGCTCAATGTTTGTTAAAGAGCACCTCAAGTCTAATTCGACATCCAAGCGATATCCTACGTGCACTGTGCAACAGCAAAATAAAACTTAAGCCTAATATAATAACCTTTTCACAAGGCGTTCTTATCGTACCAATTTATTTACGGAGAGTGCGGCGGCGTGGTAACATAAAACGATTAAGTTGTAAGTTTTCAGTCGATTAGTGGCCAACGCTAAATAATTGTAATCTTTATCAAAACTCAATAACTGGTCGTTATTAATTTTTCCCTACATTTTAAAATTAAAATAATTTAATAATTAAAACTGTATTTTATGACTACTTACACCTCCCCAGAAATGTTTACACGCACCCCCAGGTTGGGAAACGCTGCCTTATACTTATCACTCCCGATCAAATTATTATATATTTTCTTGAGAAAATTGGTAAGTACGTTTTTCGAAAATAGTACTTTATCCTATTCTTGTCTGTCCAAAGACATCGTAAAATAATATGTGCGGACGCACTAGTGGATATGTTTTTACCTATATAACGACACAAAAATTGTGAATTGATTTTTATTTTCTATACCTTGTTAGATAATAGTTTTAATAATAATTGGGCAACATTGGTTTTATTATTATTATGTCTATTACCCGTGTTGCAGGAAAAATAGTAGGTAACACAAATAGTTTCTCGAAATAATTATAAAAATATTCACTGATTATTATTTGTCTAAGTTTGTCAATCCGTATTGTTTATTATACGCTGTAGAAATATAATGGTTATTGTATTAGGTATATTATTATTGTTATAATTACATGTAGATAAATACAGAAACTAGTAACTATGGGTTTTCGGTTCCAGTCGTGGTTGCAGTTTTTGAACTATACAAATTACGGTTATCAATATCAAAATTTCCTCAGAACTTCGTTCTATTAGAAACATTTTTCGAAATACCAAAAGCTGTTTTTCTAAAAAGGATGCGTAAATAACGCATTTTGTGTATAATCGCTATATTAAGCAATATAATTTTAAAATGTTGTAATTGTTATTATAATATTGTAATATTATTTAATTAAAATCAACTACTGTTGTGTGAGAGTATTACAATATTGATAAGTTTTTCTTCAGAGCAAAATTTATCTCGGTTTGCTCTGAGCAGAAATAATGACTTGTGTATATCTTGATACGTTACTCCTCAAAAACAAATAAATAAAGTTGATCCAATAGGGACCAACTGACAAATTAGTATTTATAGTTACTGTAAATTATTATCTTTCTGGTAATAATATATAACATATAGAATGTGTTGATATAAAATAAATTGTATACTGTTTTAAATTAAAATTTATTTAAAGCAACTTAATTGTGATACAATGAAACAATAAACAATGAAAAATCGAGAGAATATATCCAGATCCAACACGTTAACAAAAATCAATGAAAGTGGTTGTTAAAAAAAAAAAGTCCAAATCCAAATACTAAATTTTCCGACGTACATCGTAAAATATTTTCACCTATAGTTTTATTCTTTGATAAACGATACTGTAAAATACATATTTGATTACAGTTAGGTAAAAAAAAAATATCAAAAAGATCAAAAATTTACAATTTTGTACCTAAAATTGTGAGATGATGATAGTTAGGTATAAACTAGCTATTTATTAGACCGACTGATAAAAATATGCAAAATCATATAAGAATCTTCTCTAAGAATTATATTATAATACATAATCATTATAGTTATGAACGATATCGTTAATCACGTAATAATATAAAAAAAAAAAAAATTGAAATTATCGATTCTGAAATTAAATTTAAACCAACAATTGGTAATCAGTAGGTAGTCTAAATTTTTAAGTTTAGGAGAACGGGTATCACATTCTCCCATGCAACCTCAATTATTTTCAGCTATAAATATTTCAATTTGAAAACTATTGAACAAATTAGTATAATACAAACGTGGGTAAATGATAACCTTATCAATAATAATTATTATACTATTATTTCATAAGAAAAATATAAAGTTCATAATATTATGTCTGACAAATGATCAAAAATCATAATTTATAATACTTCATAATATCAAAAATTAACCTATGCAAATGTATTAACATTTATCTTATTATGTCACTTTTTATAATTATTATTATTATTATTTTTGACTATATAAATGCAACATTTTTTTTTTAATATTTGGTTTTAAATAAATATATACCAATAGTAAAGTATATACATAAAATAATACAGTACACTTCAATTTATTAATATACATATTGTATTATATTTTTTAATATATATATAGTGGGTGTACATACTATTATGTATTTCTTTTTTTATTGTACAATTTCTACATTTCTATCAGCTGTATGTAGTGTAATATGATGAAAAAGCCGAACATACAAAAAAAAAAAATTGAATTATAATAATAATAATATGATGATGATGATGAAAAATAATATTGCAGTAAATAATAATTTGATGAAATTAATCATAACAAAAGCACATTTACAGTGAAATAAAATTTGTGTTTTCGATACAAAAATAATAGAAACAATAAATAAATAAACAACCAAACAAAGAATAATAATTGATAAAAAATGTAGAAAAATATAAGAATATTTAGTCTTTAACTGATATTTTAACGTACGGGTTTTTTTTCGTTTTTTGGTTTAATTTTCTGACAATCTGGACAGTACCATTTGCCTCTGGGAGCCTTTTTAATGCCCACACAATCGAAATGAAACCATTCCACTTGACAATTCGATCCATCACATCCAATCATTGATGATTTTTTGTTGTACGGGCGATTGCAGTAACAATATAATATTTTTGCAGTTTTTCTCTGCGCCGTTTTTTGTTTTTCGTTCTCCAGAATCACAACGGGTTTTGCAGTTTTATTGAATTTCACAACAAGGTGTCTCTGTTTTTTAGATTTTTGCGCACGTTTTACAGTAGTACTTCGTTTCTTTTCGATTTGTTGTCTTTGTTTATACTGATTGCGGCCGTTATTATTTGTCAAAACAGTGGGATTTGTAATAATTGTAAAACCAGAGTTTTTATCGTTGATTACAACCGATCCAGTCGTAGGTTGTTGATCACAGGACGACGAAGACGACGACTGTCCCTGACTTGTATAGCCGAAAAATGTTATATTTTTAGTTTGTTCTTTACGGTGACGGCTAACCAAAAATTCGTCGGCTTTAATATCGTCCAACACGGCTTCACAAACGTTATCGACGATATTGTTTATTATTTTTTTCACACTATGTTGTTCGCAATAGTTATTATTCAAGATTGTATCCAACAAGTCTTCTTCACTAATTTTTGTTTTACATCTACGCAGTAATTTGTATCGTTTGATCATATTGTTTGTCGTAGCCATCTTCACAACCGAATCGCCAGAAAATCGCTCGAAAATTAACGGTGAAATAACAAATCTGGAAAACGTAATATTATGTAAATAGATATATCGTCAAACATCTATCGTTCTGGTAAATTATATTTTGTTTAATATAAAAATTAATAATTTGCAACGATATCTAAATTTTAGTGTCGAACGTTTAGTTTTACTGTTAAAAAAATAACGTTGTTTAGGATAAAGTTGTTGGTATTGTATGCATTTACTTTTCAACCGAAAAAAGAAATTCTTTTTTTTTTTTTTACATTTTTAAGTTTTCGGTGAAAAATGAAATTATGTGCTTGTATTATTATTTATTAATTATTTATAATACAAGTTGATACGTTTGGTCATTGAGCACCCTAGTATTATATTCTCTGTAACTAATTACCAATTTCAAATTATATCAGTTGCAAATTATTTAACATTTTTTTATTTTTTATTTAATGATAATAATTAATTTTTTTAACATGAATATTTTATTTCAATTGTAAATTATTAATGTATTTTATTTTTCACTTTACTAATTAATATCTGTTCAATCTGTTCAGGTATTATCGGACTTAATGCCCGTTTATTATTATAAATGAATAAAATATTAACCGTCAGGCGATACATCGTCGTCATACTTTCTTCAATCGACGCGATGATCGGTTTTTGTTTTCCTCCGGCGATCAAAACGCATTTACCGATTGGCGCACGGCGATGAGCGCCTCGCGATTTCGGCCGCATAAATCCGGTCGACGTCCGAGCGAATAATAACGTCGGCCGGTAATCGGATACCTACTCTCTGTGGACTCGGCCGTTTCCATACGCGATTATATTGTATTAAATTTTCCCCATAAACAACGTGTTGCGGTCGAATATAACTACCTAGTTTCCCGCGCTCAAATTCTGACCTAACGTTAACATTGTCATTAATTTTCCGCGGACCATCCCTCGGGAAATATTAAATAATATTAATAATATAATAATAGAAATATTATTACGCGAAAAGGGCCCAGATTTGATTTCGTTATAAAAACGCGCCGCCTCCATTGCCGTGAGAAGCTCGGCCGAGAAATAGCGTGATGGTGATCAGGTTTCCGCGTTTTAGAAGTATTCGATAATAAAAACACGCGATCAATATAATATTCGTAATATTCGAATTTAGCGTAAGCATAGCCCGCTCCAAGGACATTAATTCGGAAAAGGCACACGCCTGTTTCGAAGTTGTGTCCGGAAAACAATAGAATTTGAGGATCAACATTTTTTTTTTCGATTACGAAAATATTATAGCGACGAAGAATGTATTGATTTAATTATGATGTGCTTTGTGTTTTGAATGTGTGTATAACGTGTCTGAAACCAAATTTTATCTTGATCTAGTTTAATACTTTATAAGAACTTTCGTGTTGCATTTTTTTCTAGTCAATGAAGTGGTAATTTTTTGATTTTTCTTATAGTTTTTTTAATAAATGAAAAAAACTGGACATTTTTTGTTTAACTTTTGTTAATTTTTAAGTTACTTTGACAACAAGAGGAACAATTATCATTAATAAGACTGCTCAGAATCGTTTTAGTAAATTATTTATCCTTGCGAACAAATAAAAATTAAATTACTCTATAGATACACAACTTCTAACTTATCTCTTAAAACAGTGTCACATCTACTGGCAACATAAGTTATTTTTTTGGCTTATTTCTTATAATAACCGAAGAAAATAATCCATAGTTGATAATCCATGTTTTCTTTAAGAACCATACAATTAATTTGCCAAACACATTTGGTTCACATAAATCGGAAAATACTATACACGAAAAACCGTGGTTTTTACGATTCCCATCAAAATTTAAACTTTAAGAGATAAAAAAAAATGTCAACATCAAATGAATTTCGTTATATGAATGAAACATAAAAACAACTATTAAATGAAACTTGTGTCAAATTTTCAAATATTGCCAAAAGAGTTGCCGGACAAATTGTATCCACATAAGTTTTATGTATTTTAAATAAAACATGAAAAAGGACGAACATACTTCAAACGTAGGTGCAGCTACTGTTGTAGGTGGGAAGTTGAGAAGGTAGGATACAGACGGAAATTTAATGTACATACGTAAGCAATGATAAATCATTGCTATCGAAAAAAGGATTCTGAGTAAATTTCAGTAACTGGACTTCAGTTAGTAGCATTGCTTTGTTAACAATATATATCATATTATGGTAAAATGATTACAATATGCGTTTCAATGACAACAATGATTGTTTAACAAAGATTAAAATAATAAAAACTTAGTAATAACACAAAAATAAATAAAAACGGTTGCCAATGAAAACCTAATTTTTAATCTTTCAATCTTTTTTAACCTAAAAAACCAGGTTTTCCTCATCATCTCGAATATTAATGAGAATTTCAAAAAAAAAAACTTTTTTAAAGTACCACCCAGAGAACAAAACGTGCTATATTTGATAAATGGAGCAAACTTTTTGGTAGAAAATGTGTTTACATAAAAAAAAAAAAAATAATAAAAAACGAAGTATTTATAAATTTCATAAAAACTAAATATTTTGCAAATATTCTTTTGAAATTTTAAATATGTGCTCCCACGTAGTAAATGTGTTTGATAAATTATCTGGGCCCTTATCTCGATAAATTCCACTGATATTTTTGATGTCAACAGTACATTTTATTCATACTGAAATTTGTCAAATAAAATATATTGTTTTCGCATAATTTTTGTTTTTATTTTCGTATTTGTTTTCGAATCGTCCGGAAACTGCCACCAAAATATTCGAACCATTTGTTCCGGATGTTTACATAAATATTATAGCTAAATTACAGCTGTACGTTAGTTAGGGAAAACTAATATGTACGCGCGTTAGATAATATTATTTTATGGTTGTATATGTTATAATAGTATTAATAATATTATTATTATAACATACTAAACTATTGTATTGTTATAATATAGTTGAGTATACATTTTGCATAAAACGATGATTTCCATGAGTAATACAATATAGATCGCAAGACGAATTCTGTAGCATTTCTCAAATGTCGTCCGTCTTTTATGGACAGAATAACTGTAAAGGTACAATGGATTTCGTACACGGATATAATTGAATATTATAAACTGTAGGTTGCTAACTGATGATAAATGACAATATACGTGAAGTTTTCAATCTGCCATTCCATTCGGGGCCTTATTGTCTATACTCTTTTTTCATTATGATAACTAAATATACCTATTGCAGATCTAAAAACCGTAATATATATATATATGTAGGTGTTATACACTACAAAAAAAATATATACTCGTATATTAACTATGTTTAACACATACGAAATCCTTAAATATGCATAATAAAATGTGGTGTATAGAATCGTTAAGGTCATAAAACATATGTTTGTATAAATAAGCTATTTTTTGTAAGCAAACACTAATAATATACAAAACTGTATAAATACCTGCTCTAATTAAGAAATACCTCGAACAATTGTTTTTTCATTTAATTCTTTGTGTTGAAATGCCTTAAAAATGTACAAAATCCTAAAAATCCAAAATATCTAAGATGAAATAAATTGTTGTTTAAAATCGAAAGTTTATAAAACGTATTTTGGTAAGAATTAGCTATTTTTTATAAAAACTAATACAAAATTACACAAATAAAACAAGACGCCGAGCCGTTTTTACTGAAATATTGTTAAACTAAACTGTTACAGCCACTCATCGTTAATGTTCTCATTTCTTTAAACCTAAAATTCGAATTATCATCGACCTAAACTTCACGGTTTTTTATTTTGGTTTCATTTTGCCACGTTGTCGGATAGTCACACCGAAATAATAGTAAATGCACGCGTAGTCTGTTTTTAAATGTACACCAGTAAGAAAAAAAAAATCGAAATAATTAATTCAAATTCGGTTTTTTTAATCTTCTATGTGTACACTTACATACGAGAATAGTACCTCTAATCGATTTCTTTACGTTCCGTCATTGCGTTACAAGTCTTGCCGTAAACATACGATGATAACATACGTTTTTAGACGGTTCGTCGCCGGACGCGAAATTCACACTCGCGCGTTATTTACGTTGAAATCAATGAAATGCAATTTATTCCAACAATAACGCCAAACGAATCGTACGCGCCACTCGACTCGAAGAAAATTATCGGCGTCCATCACAAAGGTTCGATCGGGAAATTACAAAAACGTTGGCGTTTTCGTTTTAGCGACAAAAGTGTATATGTACATTTATATATATTTCGTTTCCTTTTATATCGCGTAAGTAAACTACTTGTAACGCATGGAACTCAGACCTAAACTAGATATCCAATAGTCCAAGGAGTCTACAGGCGCGAAACGGCGTCCGGAAAAACCAACATCTTTGCGAATCGTATAACATGAGAAATAAATAAATATTTTGAACCCCTCATATTAAAACTAAATATTTATTATTATTGCCGATTAATTAATATATTAATTAATATATTAATGATTAGGAAATTCCATTAATTAAGATTTAGTTTTTTGTAAACCACGAGATGTTAAAACCACATTCAATATATAGTTTAAGAACTTATCTTATTTATAAATTTACTACTGTATATACTATTGCATTATATAAGATTTATATTATATGAAAAAGATTGGTTAATGTTAATAATTGTACTTAAAATTCATGTTCAAGCCATTTTTCGTAGGTTGTCATTTGAAAATCAAAAGTAGATAGTTGATTTTACAAATCAACAAAAATACCTTAAAATTAATAATCATGTATCTTAAGTTCCCCTTAAGAAAGTAAATACTGGGGCGGAATTAGCCTATACATTTTATTCGTGGTCCAATAATGTATGTAATTACATATGTACGCAGTGTACTTCAACCCGTTCAGTAGTTTGGGCGAGAAGTACGAATTTAAATTGTATATATTATCAAATGTCGAAATAGTTCGTTTATAATTATTACATCCCGTTTAAGTTTCATCACTACAATATATTATAGTAGTTATCTAAATTAACATATTGATGCATTTAATCAGCATTTACATTTAAAGCGTCAATAAATATACAACAGTTTCAATTAATACATATTAATTCACAGTGATGTATCCATTATTAATATATTATTTTATATATATTATACTATAATATTACTACTAAATATATATTTTATTTACCCAATCGTGTGATACCGCGAAGGTCCGCAAATTATTTTGACTGCAAAATATAATTAAATTATTGTACGACATCAGAGTAGTCGACTAATATACAGAGGCACATCCAAGAATTAGATTAGGGGAGATACAAAAATTTACTTTTAATATGCGTTAAAAATGCGTTCCTAATATAATAAATTATAATTTAGTCATATTTGTAATAATCCTACATGCTGAGATGGAATGGATTTACACTGTTTACAGTCCTCTTAATCTATTCTTATATTCGCCCCCGCTTCTATTTAGTATAGCATATAATATATGAAATTCACAATATTATATTTCGCCCAACTATATTAAAATGCATCACTGAACGTTATTTTAAGATCGTATTCCTAATAAGTTACTGTACATAATATATTATATTATATTATGTACGGTAAACATATAAATGTGATACCTCGCGCGTATACTATACTACAGTATACTACAGTATAATCTTTACGGTAATAATATGTTTAACTATAAAACGGCCTGTAAACACGAGACGTATACGAGTGCTGGAATTTTAGAATATTATAGTTGCCATGCAAATGGATTGTACGCGGAAGTTTTGAATATTTTTGAATATATTGTAACGTAAATCGCAAACGTTTTAAACGAAATAATAAAAAAAAAATTTAAAAACAAAATTGACGACACTGTTGATGTGAGTGTGCAACTGTTTTAGAAGTCGAAAGGGAAGATAAGTTAGAGTAATTTAATTTATATCTGTTCGCAGCGATAAACCAACAAAAAACGATTCTGAATATCTGATTCGTATATTCCCCAGTTGTCAAATGTAACATATTGAGCAACAATAAAAAATCTAATATAAAAAAAAATTCTAGTTTTCCTCATTTATTATGAAAATTATAAGGAATACCAAAAAATGATTTCCCCAATGCATCAAATTTAGATTAAATACATGAAAGTTCATATAGAATTTTTGATTGTAAAACAATTTCTGGTAGAGAAGTTAAAGACAAAAAAAACACACACACATATACTGCACCCAGTAACGACGCTAGGATTTTGTATCTGGGTGGGCTAAACTAGAGCCATCGATTTATAGACAGGGGCAGTGGCGTAACAAAAACCGTCTATTGAACAGATAAAATTAGAGATTAACAAAAGTTATTTCCATATATAGGATGATTTATTTCATCATGAACCAGCAATTATCTTAGAGGATTGTAAGTTTATTTTATTTTAATATTTTTAAAATCATAATTGAATCGTTTAAGCTTTATTTTAAAACCTTTTTTTTAATTTTTTCCCTTACTCCATATGCCTTAAATAAGTATATACTTTGTTTTTAAATTTGAACCACCCCTCCCTTTTTGAACACAGATTCAAATAGAGAATATAATTTTTAGATATTTTGGTATAACACTAATATCAAATTTATCGTTTATGAGTTATAACTATTTAAAGTTTAGACCGGAGGAGTAAGGAAGGGTAATAAATTTCATATCTATTTTTAAATGATAAATAATTGCTCCTCCGGTTTAAATTTTAAACGGTTATTACTCATAAACAATAAATATGATATTAGCGTTACATATATCAAAATTTCTAAAAAAAAAATCCTATTCGAATCTTTGTTCAACAAAGTGAGTTCTTATTCGAAAAATAAAAGTAATTACTTATTTAAGGTATATAAGTTTAGTAGGGGTATAAAATTAGAAATGGGTTTAAAAAAAAGTTTAAATGATTCCACAGGAATTAGAAAAAACAAAAATCAAATGCACTTAAAATTCTCCAAGACAATTGCTGGTTCATGATAATAAAATCACTCTGTAATATATCGCAAAGATTATGAAGTATACTTGATAAGAAATCTAAAAATACAATTGTTATACTCATCATATCTATGACGGTGCGCCGTACCGCTCTTATAATAGGTTTTATAGTATAGTCTACCTATTACATTATTTATAATATACACTTATGGTTCTATTTTTTTTTCTGTTATTTGCGCTGTTCTCATAATTTTAAAAAATTAAGATAACGAGTTCTACCTGATTTTAAGTTAAGGTGATTAGAAGCGGCAATTTTCTGTCTTTGTTTTACACACGTGAGATATAGAGATATAGACGTGATTAAATATAATGTATATAATATTTAACCGATTGATCTAGTGAAGTGATAAGAATACTGGAAAGAGATTTGAATTTATCGTGAAGTCTACTTGAGATTGATTTTCCTACTCTTTAAATTTATCTCCTTAAATTCTAAAAAAAAAAAAACATATTATTAAAAGAGGAATTGAAAAAATTGAATACTTTAATTTTTTAAGAAATTAAAATCAAAAATCAAAAAAGTGGGAATGTCGATCTTAAGTAGACTTCATGAAAAATTCAAATCTGCTTTCAGAATACAATTTTTATAATTCCCTATATCTCACATGTGTAAAAAAAAGATAAAAACTTGTCGCTTCCAATCTCCTTAAATTGAAAACGCATTATAACTTTGATTTCTACATTTCTACGTATTTCTATACATTTTCAAATATGTAATATCAAGTTAGGTCCACCCTGGCCACCCATGACGACACCACTGCACACACAACACACACACACACAGTAAAACTAATAGGTAGGTATGGTACATTACTCGCTTCGTTCAGAATCGAATATATAAAGAGACAATAAAATTATTGGGTTTAGATGATCGAATCGGCAAAGCGAATTTTAATTTTTTTCTTTTTAATTGTAATTACGATATGAATTACGGTTTTGAACGTATGTATTTATTAAATTTAAAAAAAGAACTATATAATAATATTATAATTATTTATTACCTGTATCATTACAAAACAAATTAATTAGGAATAGTAATAGATAATAAGTATAAAATATAATGATACTAATAAAAAAAAAAAAATGTTTTTTAAATTATATTACATTAATTATATTAATATATAATATTATGATTTATGATATTTTAAGAACTGAACGAATAGGTTAAAAAAAATATTAAACTGAGTAATATATTGGTTTACTTATAGTATTCGATGTTTCTTTGATAATGGATAAGAAAAGAGAATATCCGGTAACCATATATTGAAATCGTTATAAATAAAATCGCCGTGGCGTAGTCAAGGAAGAGGGGAAGGGTGACGTGACACCCGCCCATTGCTTTTTTTAAGCCATAGGTAAAATTAAGAATGTAAATCCCCCATCTCTCCATACCAATTGGTAAATCTTGACTACGCCACTGCGTTCAATCAAAATCCGTAAAACGCGGTTTGAAATTATACAGGTATACAATAATAATTACATAACATAAAAATTGAAAGTTTTCCTTACCGAGGTAGGTCCAGACGGTTTGATAGTCGAGTGAACAATGATCGAATCTCTGACAAACCAAAACAAATTCTCTACTCGTTATAATTTACCTTACGAATAAATAGTTCATAATAACCAATATTTTGGAAAATTCCGTGTTCTTATCGCAGTAGACGTAGGTATTTTCGTCGTGCAATAGCTTTTATACGAATATTACAGTTGCACAGATTAGATTTAGATTAATGTAGATTACATCCCGATAATGAACAGTCGTTATATTATTTTTATTTTATCACATAATCGTTCATATTTACGACCGCCTGTAGAGGCCTCCATTGGCCAGGACCGTACACTGATATGAAAATCTCGGCCCGACAGAGCCCTGCCTGGACAATATTTCGTTGAGCAACCCGGCTTCTTCTTCCACAACCGTGAAGTCCTCCGGCCAATCGGAGCCTTACACAGTTTTTATTTATGAAACCCAAGCACGGCCTGGGCCGGGCTCGCTGATGGAGTGTGCCACTTTTTTAGGAGGGAAATTGGAAAAAATGTTATATAGAATAATCATTTATGTCTGCACGCAACGATAAATCATTTCTGATGAAAAAAAATTCTGAGCAGAGTATTATCAGTTATTCCCCCCCTCCTTGATGCCAAGGTAACCTAGAAATCAATAATTATTAAACAACAAATTGCTAGTTTTTTTCCTCATTTATAAAAAAAATGACAAGGACAATTAAAAAATTACCGCTTCAATGCGTCAACCACATAAGAAAACGCTACAAGGAAGTTCACATACAATTTTTGACTGTGGCGAGATTTCTTTTCAGAAAAGTTATATACAGAAAAAAAAAACACGCATCATAATAAACCAATACTATATATTATTCTCACTATGATTGAATTAAAAAAAAAAAAAAAACTAGATCATATTTTTCGTTTTGTGTGGTGGTAGATTCCTTTATTTATTTTTTTTTTATTTTGAATGTAAATCGATTTTTAAAACGTGAACATTGATTTTGTGGACACCTCTGCATTTGTGTTTTAAACGTATATTGTAGACGTCATAACCCAACCAAAATAATACACTACAAATTTTCCTGTGCTATTATATTATAATCCTGACCAATTCTATAAATGTAAGTATGCATCTAAGGTATGAGGTAATAGTAGTGGATCCAGGGGAGAGAATGATCGGAGCAATCGTCCTCATCCCTTATATTCTTCAATATTTGCATGACACTTTTAGCTTAATTCATCATTGAGCTCGTTATAAATGTGCGTCTTATATGAATTTTCAAAATTGTCACCCCCTATGTTATCTTTCCTTAGCCCCTGATTTAAAAAGCTGAACCTCGATTACAAGATAATGCAACTGTAGTTTAATAATGTAAACCACAGTCATTATTTACGCACACTTAGTGTTAGTCTTGTTAGCCGAGTACCATAAATCTTCTCATTACATTCTATGAAATTCACTTATCATTTCCGTTATGTAACAATAAATCATTGTAATGCCTTTCATTAACAAAATATATATGTAGGTACGTGAATACTTAAGAGGTTCTAATAATATTATAATTATATCCTTCCTATAACATAACATATTATTGGAATATTAATTTATTAGCCAGCTTCGCCCGGGTCCAATAATGGTCCAATGATTTTGCCATAATTTTCATAATCATAATATAATAAATTATATACGAACATTCCCGCCCGGGCGCCCGTGCCGATTTAAACTTTTTCTCTTTTTGTCGACCATTTAAAATCAGAATATTTAAAAATCCTTTCAAAAGCCACGATGTCAATAATAAACTAATTCAGCGTGTCTCACCCATCTTTTTGTGTTACCACTGTATTTCTTTTTATTAAATCGACGTCTCCCCGTACAAAACTATGAACTTATCTATTTTGTGTGACGTCCGTATCATCAAAGTAACACATAAACAACAAAAACAAGGATGTACTCCGAAATTTAGCAATGTTTAATTAAAATGATAATATAATGATAAAGTTTGAATTCGTTCCAAAATTCACCGTTGCCAACTAAATTTCGATTGGATCCAACGTTAAATTATACCGATATTTCTTACCAGTTCTCATTCGTTCTTATTTGCCGCGATTTAAATTTATACCAGGAATAAGGTGCCTAGTACATTTGATAATACGGAAAAAATTGTGCAATCATATGAGCACTTTCTATTAACTAACTTAATCTAAATATTTTGATATCCAACAAATTTCCAACAAATTCATCGTTTAGTTGAGTTAATTTGTTTTCATATCTACATATTATATTATATAGCATAAATATTTTGGAATTGTAGTACCTTATTGAATTACAATAAAATACTGTTTCCGTTTATTATTTGTTGGTTTTAGATTCGGAACGTATCGTATTGGTTTTACAATGCTGTTTATTTTTTTTTTTTCTGTGGACAACTTTTCTTAGAAATATTCCTCCTATTTACAAGTTTAAAACTTTTTCTGAAAAGAAATCTTACTGGAGTGGTACTTTAAGAAGGTAATTTTATTTTCATTATCTCAAGAATTTTCAAAATATATTGGAAAAACCAAAATAAAAAGGTGGAAAAACGGGATAACGGTAAAATATGTATAATTTTAAACAAATATTATTAAAGAAAATGTTTAATGGATATGTAATTATTTTACCATAATACAACATATATATTGTTGACAAAGCCACACTATCTCTCTCTGAAGCAACTGAACTCCACTCAGAATCGTTTTTTCATTAGCAATGGGTTATCGTTGATTACTGCAGATATACATTAAATTTCTGTCTGCGTCCTATCTTCCCAACTTCCCACCTACAACAATAGCTACATCTATGTGCGAAGTATGTCCATCTTTTTGAACTTATGTTTTCTCCTAGAAATCCTGCTTCAATCAAAAAATGATATTACAATAGTAATGGGTACCTATATCTTCGTAGACACCTGTAAATATATTAAGCTGTTTTGATTTTTAACTTTTTATTTTTTTTTAATTAAGAATGGAAATTGCTTCCTATTGTTCTCAAACTTACAAAACAAAAATTTGAGCCTAAAAAATTTTTTTGAAACTTGTTCATCGTATATTTAGTTCTTCCATTTAAATAACATATAGGAAAGTAACGATACTTTCAATAAAATTACATTTACTCAGTACTTGAAAGTTAAGAGGTTGTACATAGCTTTCTTTAAGATCACAAAAGAATACATAAGATCCACTTGGAATCAAGTGAAATTTTACTGTTACAAGAATAGCCCATTTGTAAAAATCTATAAAAATTTAATTTTTAAAACTATTTTATACAATATATTTTAAAGTTGTATAACTCAACAATTTTTGACCAAAAAATGTTCAAAACACATTAACTCTGTAAGTTATAAAAAGACCTTGTTATCGGTCCTTGGTTACAGATAAGCATAGTCTATAGAGTCATATACTCTATAATGAGTTAAAAATCAAAAAAAAATCTGACTATCTGACGATCTATAATTTCTATAGATTTATACTAATTAGCTTTTCTTGTAACAGTAAAATTTCACTAAATTCACCAAGTGAATCTTATATATTTTTGTGTGATTTTTAACCTCATAACTTTCAAACTTATTGAGTAAATGAGAATTAATTGAAAGTATCTTTAGTATACTTCTAGTATACTTTCCTATAAAATTTAAATGGAAAACTATATATGCGATGAATAAGATTTTAAACAAGTTTCTTTAGGGTAAATTTGAGACCACAAGAACGCAACAAGTTAAAAATCAAAACAGCCTAATTTATATATATGTAATAATATGTATATATATATATAGACATTTTAATTTTGCGAGTCTTTTATGTAATTTTTATTTGGTAGGTACTCTGAGGACAAAATTGTCAGACCAAATAGAAATTCTTGACAATTTAACAGGTTCATTATGTGGCAAAAAGAAATAAAATTGTGTTTCATGTAGTATTTTTTTTTACATAAAAATTTGATATTCAAATATTAACGAAATTCGTAAATATTACAGCCTTTCAAAACATTTAGAACCGAATTTATTTTTCGTTGGCGATGATTTATCGTTGCGCACAGATAAAAATTAAATTCCCTTCTATATCCTACCTTCTCAACTTCTCATCCACAACAGTGACTCATCCGTTGTGCGAAGTATGTCCGTCTTTTTTATTTATATTTTTAATAAAATTAAATTCAAAATTCTTACAAAGTATAAGGACATACCGAAGATTCCCCAGATTATAGTAATATCATAGGTAGGTACTTTTTTAAATATTTATATTCTTCGATGCAATCTTGCGATAGTACACAAAACTGTAAAACCTCTGGCTATGTCTATATACCTCAAGAGATTAAAATGTATAGGTAAACAAAATATAATAAAAAGAAAGTATCTATATGAAAACAATATTGAGAATTTGACAAAATAACTATACGTATAAAACTCAAGTACGACGTCACAGAAATAAGTTCTAGGTAATCAAAATATTTTAGAGTTTATCGAATTATGTTGCACATACAAAACACATAGTATAATAGATTAACCTTTCCAATACTCAATTGATTAATTAAAATATCGTGTAATCATTTAATTAGTTATTTAATTTAAATATTGATACAAAAATATAAAAGTCATGATCATTGAAATTGACAGTGGCAATGAAAAGGTTAAATCACTAAAATCTATAGTGCTTAATTTTAGATTTTGAGTGGAGCGAAAAATCTTATGGTTTTACTAAGATGTTTATTTTTTTTTTTTATGTCTGTTAACAACTTTTCTACTAGATAACTTGCTTAGATTTCTAAGTGTAGCATCTTTCTGAAAGAAAATTGGTGTGGGAAAGTAATTTAGGATCATTTTTTGATTTTCTCAAGAGTTTTCTTATAAAATTTGAAAAACATAAAAAAAAACTAGAAAGGTTCTTTTTTTTTTTCTTTTTTTCTGTGCACAACTTTTCTACCAGCAATTTTGTTCCGATTTACAATGATAGCACTTTTTATTAAATTAAATTTGATTAGAAAGGTACCATAGGGACGTC